TTGATTAGGTAGCCTCTGAGATCCCTCCTGATACAATTAATTCTATGGTTCTTTCGACAGAATGTTTTTTTCCTGCTCAGTTTCATTTCAGTAAACTGTATTTTAGGCAAGAGCTCAACATTTGACTGTGAGAATTAGGAAGGACCTTTATTATTGAATAATAATTGAATAATTGAATAATTATTGAATAATAATTATTATTGGACAACGATTGCTGCTCTCAAACTACCTGCAAGTTCTTCCTGCCTTCAGTCAGTTTTGTAACCCTTACTAGTCCTTACAGTATTTCAGTAGCCAGGTGGCAGGTAAAGGCTAAACGGAAAATTACTGCTGCAGCATGCTTAAACATAGCCCCACGCCTAAAACTGCGATTCCGAGTGGAGCCCCTGTCTCCAGAACATCATGCATTGGTCGAGAATAGGTTAATGAGGAAACATAAAATCTTTGTGCTCAGTATCTTTTGATTCTTTTTTTTTTTTTACAGAACTTCAGTTGTAAGGGAAAAGAAAAAGGAAGGAAAGAGGGGATAAAAAAGATCAATTCTTAAATTCTGTAGCATTTTTTCTCTTCCATTAGGACATGGAAGGATCAGGTAGCATTGGCCTGTTAAGTGAATCTGGAATTACAGGATCAAGAGGGCCAGAGGTAAGTGGATATTTCTGTGGAGTGTTGTTTGTTGATGGGTTTCTTTTTTTTTTTTTTTCAAAAACAAATGTCATCCTCTCTACTTTTGGGAAATGCAAAGTCCCGGTCAGCCACAAATTTGGAGCCACCGTACTGGATTCACGTGCTTTAAAATGACATTACAATGACTGTGTCCTCTAAATAATCTGGAGAGTATTTCTCTGACACCTGGTCAGCTGATGATTTTTAGATTCAGCTCTGGAATATTTTTGAAAGATTAAAGGGTGCAATAGGTGGCGGTTTTTTTGTATTATCTACCCCTCTGTTTTTTGCCTTACCCTAATAGATGCCCTTTTTCATCATAGAATGGCCTAGACCTTAGAGGTCATTTTAATCCAGCCTCCCTGTCGCCAGGGACGCCACCTTTTTTTCCTATGAAGATGAATTATTTGTACTAATGAAACTGAAATGTTGTAGTTTGACAACCAAATGTGCATAATCTGAAATACCACTTAGACTAAAACAAAAAATATTCCTAGTAGTTTGGAAGCAGCATCTCAGAAGAAGGGAGGCTTTTTCCTTCATCACCGTGTCTCAGGATATTTTTACCAGTGTGGGCCACTTTAAAACACCAAGTAGGGAATATGGGAATGCAGCACTCACCAGATCATTTGGGTTTGTCTTCATTCTTAGCAATAACACCAAATCTGCAACTGTGCTGGTTTAAAATACTAGTAATTGTGAGTCGCTAACGTTATAACTGATTCAACATCCTAGAGACTTTTTCGGCCTCTCATATCTTTTTCTAGATACTGAAAAAGTGGCACAGAAAAATCGTTGTAAGAATAGAGTTAGCTAGCTGCAGCAAGCCGGTGTCCAAAACGAGAGGTCCAAAACCAGCGCCAAAATTGCCCGCTCTGCCCTGCCTAAATGGCAGCCTCGCTCTCAGTTTTGGTTTCATAACAGGAGTTGTTTCCAAGTCACCCAGCTATAAATACTGAAAAAAATGTCTTAGTGCAGCGAAACAAAATCCTGGAATTTTGTTTTCCTGTTACTGCTTAGTCACTCCGCAAAGTCAGTGAGTCAGTGCAGAAGGCACGTAAGAACTCCCCTGTAATCTATAATCATGAAAATGATTGTACGTAATTACTGGTGCTGCACGGAAGCCCCATGAGCCACCCTAACCCCCTGTGACAACTCCAGAGGTTCCTGGTTGTGCTGGAGTGAAAAGAGAGTATCTGCTTCTAAGAGGGCTGTAACTCCACGCAGCTGCTCGGAAATAAGTTTATTTGCAATCTCTTTGCACCTGATGACTTTTTTATTAATCTTTTGGCAGAAAGAGGTGGTTCTGAAATACCACATTTATTTTCTCTGTAGACTCAGCTGTCATTTCCAGCATTTCTATTCTCTTTCTTCCTCAGTTTTGCCAGCATTTGGTTTATCTTGTCTTCACCTTCTGAGCGAAGACAACTCAACCACTTTGTTGAATTCTTTTTTTTCCTCCATTCAACTTCTTAAAATGATCAGCAGTGAATTCTGTTCGTTTTACCATGAAAGAGCCAAAGTTGTACTTCACGACTGATGTCGCTGTGTAGAAACATGAGAGGAATTTGCATCCCTGAATGTTTGTTCCAAGCTGCTTTTAAACCCACTAAGACAATGTTGTGTTGCCTCTAAACTGGTAACACGTCGTAATTTTAGCTAAGGAGAGAAATTCAAAAAAATTGCAGGCAACCGAAAACACTCCCTTGCAACAAATGCAGTTGGACTACTTTATTTCTAGTGTCTTCTAAAAATATGCATAGTATGCTGTGATGAGATTAAAGTTGTCGTTGTAAGGGGAAAAAAAATAATAATTAAAATCTTCGTCTCCTAATATGGAGCAAGGCAGTATTTATCAAAACAACAAATCCAACCCAATCTAAACCCAATTGTTGTTAATCTCTGTTGACACTACTTGTCTCCAACATTGTTTTTGTAACAGTTGTGGTTATGAATTAGGTTTGGGGCTTTTTTTCTGGGAAAATGTTTTATGACATGCCTTGTGGATTTCCCAGTAAATTCCATGTCATTTCCTAGGGTTCTGCAGGAAGACGTGGACAGCGTGGGCCGTTGGGACCAAAGGTACCCGGTGTAACATGAGGGCTGACCTATTTTGCTTTGGCATCTATTTTTTTGAGTCTCTATTCCCAGCATTTCCCACTTCTGAAGTCTCTGTGAAGCAGTATTTCCACAATATTTTAGCAAGAAAATTTCTAGTTGAGGGCAGAGGGTAAACTGGAGATTTAGGAACTGGGTCAGGACTGAAAAGACAGTCCTAAACCTTAGCCAAGAGACTTCACAACTACATATAGTAAGATTGTAGTTGTTTAACCCCCAAGAACACAGAGACACAGAAGGGAACATACTATTGCCTGATGTACTACAAAATTGGGTACACTGCTGCAGAATTAATATAAAGTGGTTATAATATGCTCTCATTCTTCATGGGGGTGAATTTTACACCCACTTTTCGCGGTTATAAACGACTTCACTAGGCAACAGTGGCAAAATACAACAACCACCCACTTCCAAACACCAAGAGCTGATGTATCATGAGGAGTTTAAGGTATAGTTGTGTTTCATACATCCTTCAGAGATCCCAGAGTAGTAAAGCTGAGATCAAGGTTTTCTCTTTTTTCCTAGCAAGTAAGTAGAGATACCTCTACACACCTGGGGAATGTTACCATCTCCTGATTTCGGGCACCACAGTGAAAGGATCAGGCAGGTGACTTGGTAGATGCTCTGCAAAAATAAAATGTGATGACCAGAAACTCTAAGATGTGGGTGGTGACCAGAAGGCTGAACCCCCAGAACCAATTCACAACTGTACGCTGAGCATCACTTCCCCCAAAATAGGCCCGATTTCCACTCATCTTTTTACTCCATTTGGTCTCTTTGTTTGCAAGGGAAGTGACATGAATGTTTAAAATCCTTGTAATTATTGTTCATTTTCGTATTTGAACTCTGCTGTGTCTGCCTTTCAGGGAGAAAGGGGCAACATTGGTCCTCCAAGTTCAAAGGTGAGACATGCCTTTAACTTGGTTTAAAACCAGTTTTTTCCTCCTGTTAGCTTCCTTTCAATGAAATGGTGGTTGGCAGGACCTCCAAAAGTCATCTCATCCAATACCCACCCGTTGCCACCGCTCAACACGGTGTTTGTGTCGCTGAGCTGGATGGAGCTGGAGCCCAGCCCTTCCTCTCCAGTCTGCCCTGTCATTATCCCTGCCCAGTCCTGCTTTGCCTCCTCTTGGAGCCCACCACAAGGCTGCTGCTTGTTTCTCTGCTGGTTTTGGCCAGTCCCTGGCTGGCTTGTGTGCCTTTTGCAGGCGTAAGCCAGTGGAGGGCAATGCTGGGACTCAGAGAAAGAGAAGGAGGAGGCAGAGAAGGAGGAGAAGGAGGAGGAGGAGGAGGAGGCAGAGGAGGAGGAGGCAGAGGAGGAGGAGGAGGATGCAAAGAAGGAGGAGGAGAAGGAGGAGGCAAAGAAGGAGAGGAGAGGAGAGGAGAGGAGAAACTTCTCTTGCATTTGGGACAACCTTGAAATCAAGAGTTGCTCTAGGAAACAGGATAAAAGCAGTTATGAAGCTCCTCTTCTGCTTTCTGAATATTTACAAGAGTATTATCACAGTCTTCTAGCAGCATCTGCTTGTTTGTTTTTTAAAAAACCCAACAATGCAGCAGGACTTTGCTTGCCATAAATTCCATCTGCTGTACATATTTTGAGTGTTGCCATTTCAGAGATATTTGTCAGCACGATAATTAAAGCTGATGCATAGGACAGTTGTTTAACTCTGCTTTTTAATCTGTTTGAGATGATTATTTTCTTCTTATATGTACAAGGGCTTTGTTCCACAGTCATCTATCTAGTAATTATTAGTGTTGATGTCATAGACACTTTCCAAACACGTGCATTTATTGTAAGTGAAATGACTACAGTGCTATTTAAAAATAATCAAGCTCTCTCTTCAATCCTTGGTTTAAAAAATATCTGTATTTGAGCAATTAGTTGCATTCTTAAACTATGGAGGGAGATAGAATACTCCGGATACGTTATTTACAGTAAAACATCTTACCTACTCTAGATCTTCTCTTCCAAATTAAATTTCAGTAGGAGAATCCATTGATAAGCTTTTTCAGCATTTGTCATAGCAGGAAGCTGACCTGCAGGTACCCACGTGCCTGACGTGAGAGTCTTCTGGCAGAAATAGCACTGAGAATGTCATTGCTTGATGAAGAGGGCACATTAAATCTTTCATGCTGGTGGATCTACAGAAAAGCATAAGAGGATTTTGTGCCCTATGAACTGTGTTTGAGAATTTCTTCTTTTACACCAGAAATGTTCCATTTTTCTTTTTGACAACTACCTTTTAATTAAATTGACTGTTTACTAGATTTTCATGGTACTATCTACTGTAAAAGCCCAAAAATATTTTCTCGAAGCAGAACAAAAAGTGAGAATCAAAGCAGCTTTTTCCTAAAAAAAATCCCAAACCCTCAGAGCACTCCCCTCGAAAAATCAAATCAAATTTAAAAATCCACAAAAAAACCTCCCACCAACCAAACAAGCAGACAAACAAAATATGAGCCCCACTGCTAAAACAAAACAGGGCTAATCCGTCACTTGGATGAATCATGAGGCTGTTCTGTGTCATTTCCTTTGCTCTTTCATATGATCCAGAGAAAAATAGGTGCAAAAAAAAATGGAGTTTAGTGTTTATCCGGTCCTTTAGGAATGCAGCATCTACTTTTATCCATTTCTCTCCGGGCGAACTGCATTATCACTACTGAGCGATATTTCTGTTCTTCCCATAGAATAGAGTAATAGGTGAGATTCTTAGCATTGAGTCCTGCATTAAACTAGAGTGGGGGTTTATCAGACTTTTCGCCCCATGTGCTCCCATCTGCATTCAATGCCTCTCCCTCCTCTTCCTCCAGCCCGAGAGTCACATAACCAAACGGTGGAAATAACTCATTAAATGTAGCTTTGGGGGAAAGCAGCAGAACTCATCCTTTTCCTAAGTGGAGGTGGAATACGGTGATTGAAGCTGCATTTAAAAAAAAATAAAAACCACTCTGGAGAGTGGGAGGGAGCGGGAGGAGTGGAGAGAGCAGGTGGCTGAGGCGATGATGCTCCGCTAACCTGCCCCCAGGTCCATTCCGAACCGTGCTGTGTCCCTCCCAAGAGTGGTAGCCTCCCGCTTGGATGCAGCTGGACGCTATTTAGAGAGAATAGGGATTAGCGATTTAGAGAGAATAGAGATTAGCTATTTAGAGAGAATAACAGAATATTTGTCGTGGCAGGGAATGCCGGGTACAGATGGGAAACCAGGCTTTCCTGGCATTGCTGGACATCCTGGAGATGTGGTGAGTAGGACTTGCCATAATTTCTGATGACCTAACGTACCCTGGGTGCCAAACCTACACCTTAAGGATCAGCAGGAGTCCTAACAGTAGTTGCAAGAGGTGTGTGCAGAGCTGGGCCTGGGTTTATCCTACTTCACCTGGAGCAGCTCGTTCAGGAGCAAACGCAGGAGCAGGTCCCTTGCCTCCCTCCTCTGCCAGAAGTGATGCGGGCATCCCCAGAGGCTAGTTTCCAATTCCTTGGTGCTCCTTTTGCTTTTAATTATTCAGATAGTAGCTCTGCATTTAATTAGAGGGAAGTCAACAGCTTCTTGGGTGATTTTTAATGTATTTCTCATGCTTAAGACCCATGAGGCTTACAGAGGTGTTTAGCCGGGAAGTCTCCCACCACCACCTCTGTCTTGCTCGTGCCACACGCAACGTCTGCGTCCCCAGCACAGCGAGTTCTGTCCATCCATCCTAGAAATAACGTGCCTGAAATGGGACTTTGTGACTCAGCCATGTCCCCATGCCTGGGGACGTCCCGCCAGGTAAAATCCCAGACACTGACGGGGCTGGTTAGTGCTGAAGAAGGAAGGAGCAGCCAAGCAGGGCTGGTTTCAGTACAGTGAGAGAAAGGCTTGCTCAATTAATCCCTGACCAGTGAATTGTTGTGGACTCATCTGCAAATTCGCTCAAACGTGCTGGGAAATCCTTTTAACCATCAAATCCTGAGATGGTCTGAGCTGAAGCCAAAGCTTGGGGATCGGTCGCTATGTACCTGCATTTTACTGCTGTGCTTTCTATGAGCCTAGAGTAAAGCACATTTTCACAATTTTCATTTTTAAGTCACTTATGCTCATTGGTGGGTTTTTTAATCACATGCAGGGTCCCAAAGGGGAGAAGGGTGACCCAGGACCTCAGGTGAGACTTGCATGGATTTCTCTCTCTCTCTCCGAGAAACCTCTGTGAAATGCAGCAGTAAGTAAGTGCATTTTCCACTTGTAATGCTTTTGAAATAGGGGGAACCAGGACAGAATGGGAACAGTGTTATAGGACCACCGGGACCACCAGGCCCTCCAGGACCAATCATAGCGATACCTGAGGTACGTGTGTTTGTCACTAAAGTCTCTCTAACTCACCTTACAGAGAAGAGGGCGCCAGCATGAACAATCCAGCAATTCTGCTGCTGGTGTTCAGGTCATACGTCTATACCTCAAAAGGAAAAAAATCTCAGTATGTCTCTATATCAGATGGATTTGCTTTGAAACGATGAAATAGGAGGCGAAGTGGGCGAAGAGCTTGCCCACAAGAATTATGAAGTCATATTGAAAATTATGGGGTCATACCGAGAGCTTCTCACAAACTTTCCAGGTGATTCTGCAGGAGTTTCACTTAGACTTCTGCTACTGACAGCCACTATAGAGTGAACTTGCATCCCGTAGCCCTCATAACTAGTCCCCAAAAGAGAGTTTTTCACTGGATTTACTGGGTATCTACACAGAATGTTGGGATGCTAAGATCTTGGATGAGCAGAATTACAGATTTACAGAAACGCTGGTTGGAGGGGATGTCTGAAATTCAAAGTCCTGCTCAAAGTGGGACTATCACCAGCTCTATCGCATTTCTGTTGGAGTTTCTGGGAAATTCCTCAAGAGCTGTGACAGAAGTGCAGATGTAAAATTCATGTCCTCTCTCCCAGCCCTACCACGGTGTTGCTGTGGGACCTTAACTCTTTATCGGTCGCTGAACAGCTCTGTTCGCAGTAATAATCAACCTGTACGGGTTGCTCCTTAGCTCATTAATACTTCAAAAAACCACTATGAGAGCCTCAGAGGGAGAGCGGTATGTGCAAGAAATGTAAAGAGATTATTGAAGGTGACACAGCAAAGTGATGACATGAGTTTGCTGGAGGCTGCATGGCTCCCTGCACGTTGTGAGCTTCGCAGACCCCGCGTCTATGCAACGTGTAACTGTGCCTGAAGAAACCTGAAGTGCCTCTTCTGAATTCCCTACGATTTCTGTGTAAGCCTCCTCCACCACGCATTGCAGAAATGTCTAGAGCCTGGTGTAAGCTGTGTGTGGTGTTGGGTGTATCCCAAACCCATAGAGAAGCCCATGTCCTTCTCTAAATACCCTGAGGAATAAGCTCTCTACAAAGCAGGGTGCGTGACAAATGTGACTTTATGTACGTTTGTAGCAAACAGGTGTTCTGGGCGTCCCAGCATGAGCTGTCTATCCTCACACGCTTCAAATCCTCTATCTCGTTCATCAGATGATTTCCCTGAGGACTTGGTGTGCTGGGGTTTGGTGCAGTTAATTAAATGTGTGTCTAAGCGTATGTCGCTACGTATGACGGAGAGTTCTGCCTCACAAATGCTTGTATAAGAACAGGACCTTCGCTGACTGTTTAAATTGTCCAAATGTTTTTGGTTGGCTCTGTCTCATCTTCTGCAGTTAGCTCCAGGTACGGAAAGAACTACTGCGAGTAGACCTCCCGCTTGCACTTGAGGCGGCAGAACTAAAATAAATAGAAAGAAAGAAAACCAGCTGTTGTGCTGCGGGTATTGCCTTGACGTGGGTAGAGCAGCAGAGATCAATTCCGTGATCTAAGTGAACCCCAGGGCAGTTAGAGAGATCAGGGTCAGGGTGTCCCAGTTCACTCATTTAACCATTGTGTAGCCAAAGATGACCACGCTCCTCGGGCTACACGAGTCTGGTCTGTCGGAGCTGGAATGGGATTTTTTATAAAGAGCCGCATGGCTACAGCTGGACAGATTTTATGCTGCTGGATTAAGATAAAACAAATCGACGCAGTTTCAGTATCGCTGAAATATCGAGATCTGATGTGGAGTGCTGTGGCTCCAGGCCAGACCTCACCGTTCTCTGGCCACTATTGATTGAACTGCTCTGCAGAGTGGACCTTGGTTTCCTCCTCATTTCACCTCTGTTAGCTGAGGGGATTTGATTCCTTCAGGAGCTGCTTCTAATACTGTGGAAAGAAACAATTTCCCTCAGTTTGCTGCTGTTTGATATTCTGAAATACTAAAATCAACCTTCCTCATCCTACGTTGGCTGTTTCACTCTTTTGGAGCGCAGTCTCTGGTACTCAGTGCATTTTCATGAGTGGAATCATGGTAATCAGTAAATCATTTCAATTGTTGCTCTGATTTCATCACTGTAATTTATTTGAATACGATACAGAAATAATTTTGAATAGAGAAACCTTATTGGATTTAAATTTAAAACTTGTAAATACTTATCTATTGCTACCATTATTCATCAATAGTTTAGGTACAAGAACCAAACGAATGACCTGCAGAAAGGTGTTGGGGGTGTAAAGCAAATGTCAAAAGATTTTTTTGTGTTTCCTACACTTTTTTGTCATTTTAAAGAGGACACATTCACGCCATTTGGATGCACAACTGAAGGCTTAACGTAGAACCCAACCCAGACAGTCACGCCAAAAAACTGTTTCTTCCTCTTTGTAACAGGGAAGAAAATACCAAACCCAACATTGTCCTTACTTTGCAGGCAGCGCTTTCTGAACTGGTTTGATGCGTTGAAAAGTTACGTTTCCGGGTTGTTGCTGCCAAAGCTGCTATAACATCAACCCAACATTGTCCTTGCTTTGCAGGCAGCGTTTTCTGAACTGGTTTGATGCATTGAAAAGTTACGTTGCCGGGTTGTTGCTGCCAAAGCTGCTATAACATCCCAAAAGATAAATAACTATACACCTGCAGCAAGTTGAGAAGAGCGCAAACTTCCTCTCTCATCATCACCCTTGTACTCTCTGTTTTCACGTCTTCTTCGGCACCGTGTACAGTTTTCTGACTTCCAACCACAATTTCCAGTTGCAGCTAAGCTCTATTTCTAAAATACACCAAGTGCCTCATCCCAAGCTCAGCAAAGCTTTTGGAATCCTTTCCACTGACTTCAGTACAGTTTGGATTGAGCCCAAAATAAAATTAAAAAAAAGAATACTGAATAATTCCATAATGAAAAGACAGCGTAAGCCCAGGACTCCTGGATTTCTGCCACCAGCTGTAGATAAAGCAGAACAATTGCAGCAGCAGGATAGGATATGTGATGTGATCAAGTAGATTTGTCCTCTTTTGTGTCCTCCTTCACAGCCCAGATTAGAAAAATAATATTCAAAGATTTGTAAGACAGTGGGACCTGACTTCTAGAGGCCATGTGGTCAAACCTCCTATTCAAAGCAGAGTTCGCTTCAGACTTGGTTCCTGCATTCGTAACAAATATTGCAAAAGATTGTGACCTGATGGCATCGATCTGCACCTGGTTACAAGCAGAAGCAGCAGCCAGATTTCACAATACCTTGGTGACAACATGGTTATTCCTGTGCCAAGTGAATCCCTGGTGCCTGAAGGCACATTCTGCCCCGGTCTTGTGAAATTCGGAGGATTTTCATTATGTTGAACAGGAATATACCGCTGCACACAAACTGAAATGGATGTCTTGGCTTGCCTGCTAAAAAAAATGGGCTAGTTCAAGCTTCTAAGGAGATTCATGTTTCTGACTCCCAAACAAGGCTGAACTGTCACAGAATAAATGAGGCTGCCGGTGTGAAAAAAAAAAGAAACACATGACAAAACTGAGTCAGGTTCTCTTTTCGCTCACAGCATTCATGGGGCACAAGCACTAATGTATGGTCTGTCCTGAATGGTAATGGGTAATGGGAAGCACAGAAGTAGCCATGTGAAACCAAAAGGAAAGCCTAATGGGAACATCAGAACTCAAATCTGGTTGGGAGCAAGCAAGGTGGATTTACTAATGGCAATTCATTCCTGACCAGAACGATTGCTTGTCTGTGAGCAAGGGATGGGCACTGGAGGTTGTGCACCCAGCAAGCTTCTGCTTCTTTTGTTCTCCTCCTTGGCGAGTGACAGGATGAGGGGAAATGGCCTGAAGTTGCTCCAGGGGAGGTTCAGGTTGGATATTGGGAAGAATTTCCTTACTGAAAGGGTTGTCAGCCATTGGAACAGGCTGCCCAGGGAGGGGGTTGAGCCACCATCCCCGGAGGGGTTTAGGAGGCGGGTGGGTGTTGCATTGAAGGACATGGGTCAGTAGTGTTGGTAGGGCTGGGAAAAGGTTGGGCTCGATGATCTTGAAGGTCTCTTCCAGCTGAAACTGTTCTGTGATTCTAGGATTCTGTGATGCTGTCACCAAACTGATGATGTGGTGACAGCCTTGCTATCACCAAGCTGATGGCGTGGATAAGCAGATGATAAAATAGGTGGAATATTGGCTTAACTGATGGACTCGGAAAGCTGTGACTGGTGCTCCGGAGGACCATGCCCAGCTGTGAGCTCCCCAGCACAAGGAGGCTACTGCTGTGGTGGATCAAGCCCCGTGCTGGGCTGCTGAGACGGGCAGGGGACCGGGGCGCTGAGAGAGCTGGGTCTGCCCAGCCCGGAGGAAAGAAGGCGACAGAGAGGCTTTGTTGCTCTCTGCAGCCACCTAATCAGAGGGTGCAGAGGAGACGGAGGCACCATCACGCCAGTGACGTATCGAAGCATGAAACCTTCGTTTTGATCTTCAGCTTATTGAGGAGAAATGACTTCAGGCTGCGACATTTGGCGTCATAGCTTTCAAATTAAAGATGAGAGTCGGTTAAGGAAAGCTTTGAAAGCATTCTGAGACACTTACATGAGAAGCGTAAAACAAATGCTGGGGTTTGTTATGCCAGGCGTGTAACAAAACTAGAAGTAAAGTTCTGCTTCTTTGGTCTTATTTCTGTTTTTTTTCCCCCATAGTTATAAAGACATGCTTAACTGTCTATGCATTCCCAAAAATCCGTGTGTGTGCCCTAAATAATCAATCTGCTATTTGAAATAACTTGTTCCTTTACCACATTTCTTTTAGCTACTGCTCAATGATACAAATGGAATATTTAACTTTACTGGAATTAAAGAACTGCTTGGGCCTCCAGTGAGTATATTCTGCTTTTTTTTCTTTTCCTTAAGAATTGCTCTGTCTTCAGTGTCTGCTTTTAAGTATGAGCTAGAGCTGAGTTTCCAGAATTGTGTTCCCCCTAACTTCAGCACCAAGCTCTGTGGAAGTGCTTCAGGGCAGAACTGAATTCTGTGTGAACTAATTGCTTTTACCCACTTGTGTGAAAGAAAGGAATTAGTTTAACTCTGATTTTGAACCATATATACAGAAGGACAGAAACATGGAACCGATGCAAAAATAGGGACCACGTTTTACATAGCGGCTCTTCCATTTTTTAATTTTTTTCCCCTCAAATCATAAAACATTGGGATAAAGTATTTTGCTTGAGAGTGCAGGGAAAAGTTCTGAAAAGTAAATGCTAATCTCCCAGAAAGAGTCAGAAGCATAGAGTCTTGTGGAGTGCCCACAAGTTTACCGCTGGCTGAAGTTGTTAATGCAGTTTCAGATCAGATAATATTCACAAATTGCTCAGAAAGTGGAAAATGCATCCTCTGCTCTGCCAGTCTGTAACACGTGTTTGCAAGGGCGTGCATTTTTTTACATTTTGCAGGGGCCACATGGCAAGCCAGGTCTACCAGGGTTTCCTGTAAGTATTACATTCCTTGGATTTAAGTAAGTATTTTTTCAATAGAGTTTAATTTTAAAAAAAAAAAGTATATTTTTAAAAATAAATTATATTTTACAGAATTTACGCAAAGTTTAATGAATTTTCATTTGGGAGACTGTAGGTCCTTATGAAATCAGCAGCTGTGGTAGAAATCAGCTCTGCTGGGAATGAAGTACAGTCTGATGTGCCCACCTGGTATCTCTGCTTATCTCAGAATCAGTTCCGTACCTTAAATCTAAGTGTGACTGACTTGGATTAAAAATTACCACGTAAGGAAAAGACCCGTGCCAGGAGAAATATATTGAACAAATATGAAATTATTTTTATATGTACTTACATTCTTTAGACTTTTTTTTGTCATGACTACAGAGTACATTAAGGCCTTATGAGGAGTACCCCTTATATTTTAGCCTTTAGGAAACATTTCTTGTTCTTCCCTCAGGTCTTTTCTTTGTCTCTCCACTAATGCAGAAATCACGGAGACTTGAATTTAGCTCTTGGTGCGTAAAAAAAACGCTTTTGAATGTGCTTATAACAGAAGAATGGAAAACAGTATGTGATCCGAGCAGAGTGGCTTTACCAGAGAACAGATACAGAAATTCTCACATTATCAAATACATTGCCCCTATTTCAGAGAAAAATATTTTTTTAAGTACTATTAAAAATATAGCTTCAGAAATTCTGTTGTAAATCAGTCTGGCTGGACTGTTGTGGAAGGAGAGAGAATAAAGCAGGGAGGAAATAGAGAATTTTGAGCTGATTTTCCACTCTTATTAATGTCTACATTAGGCTACACTGCAGTAAATATCGAGGGAGTTGTTTTGTTCTTGTTAACAGAGTCTCCCAGATTCGATTAAGGAAACACTTTGACACCGGCAGCAATTTAGGCTTCTGAGAGTTATGAGATTGCAGCCAGAGGGATTCCAATTCAAGTTTTCCAGTTATTTATAATTACATTCAGTAAAAAGTCCTAGCTCTGTGCTCTGAGCAGGTGGATTTCTGGACTTGCTTTGGCTTAGGGCCCTCGGGGACCAAAGGGTGACATCGGTGTGCCTGGATTGCAAGGACCCAAAGGACAACAGGTAAGAGAATCGTAGACTAGAACCACAGTTGGAAGAGACCTTAAAGATCGCGAGATGTTTCTGCTGCAACTGCAGGGCCATAAAATCCCCGAAGACAAAGTCAGGACATCCTGACTAGCCAAGCTGAGGGAACTCAAGGGGACACCAACAGCATGTCTGCCTTGGCGGGGACCTCTCATGGGCACGGCGTGTTTCACCTGGTTACTCTGCTGAGAGCAATTAAAAGTCTTCTTTGAAAAATAAGTATTCACTCGTCTCTGGGAGATTTACAGGAGCAGGGTGCTTTTAGTGTGCTTTATTATGTTTTAAGAAAGATCAGCCTCTTTTTTCTGCCCTAGAGCCAAGCTTCTCGCTACTGGCATCGCTGTGACTTTGGTATCACGGCGTTACTGACCCGTCATGCCTCAAAGAGCAGTCACGCAGCTTCTGTTTCTTCTGATTCACTGAGAACTGCCTTGTAAACACCCTAAAAAACCCCACTTTGATAATTTCAGGGTGAAAAGGGAGAACCAGGAGCTATTGTTGCTGCTGATGGAGCTTTAGCTGAATTGCTAGGAAGAAAAGGGGAGAAGGTGAGCTAATCCTGTCTTATGGCCCTGCCGAGCGTTTGGTGGCCTCGTGACAGGTGGCCACCTCTGATCGATACTGCAAGAATTCTCCTGGTCGTCATTCTCCGTGCATCTGTCCTCAACAGGGTGAAGCTGGAGTGGTGGGACCGGCGGGACCAATGGTGAGACATTTTTCTTTTGCTTTGGTAATAGTAAATGTAAAGGTGTAGCTTATTTTAGCTTTTCCTTCCGTCTGAGTAGGGGTAATAAGGAGCATTCACGCTTCAGGATGATCAACATCCTTCAGAAAAGAATCGTGATTTCTCACCATTAAACGGTTGTCACCTGTCGGTGGTATCTGCGTGAGACCCACAGACAGAGATTATTTAACCAACTACACAAGAAGAGGTATCCCTTAGCATGTCACTAGACTGAAAAAAAACAAACAAAAAAAGGAAATGAAACCAGGAAGGTTGATGCATAGAGAAAGAGCTAGTCTAGACGCTTGTGGTTTTGTGGGGTTTCAGGAAGCTGACGGTGGGGGAAAGTTTACGGTGTCCTCCAGTTTGCTGCTTCTTGTTGTCGCTTGGTGGCTGCCTCGAAGCGGCACGCCTGCAAATCCCCAGCACAGCTCCTCCGTAGCCCTGCTCCCTTTTTCCCAGGCAGCCCACGTGCCCGTCCTTTTTGCAGTCACTTGTATCGCTTTTTGAGGCCTGATGGGTCAGCCACTCTTCTATAAAGGAGGGTATCTGTTCTGATTCAACTGATTCAAAAATAATTAGAAAAAGCAATCGAAATAGAGGTGCAGAAGGCACGCATCACCACTAACGGCATTTTTTTTCTACTGGTTGATCCATTTAATTTTGCTTCCCTAAGTGGTGACTCGGGTTTGGATTGCACACCCTACAAATGGCTGAGAATTCAAACTTCGTTGCAGGTAACGGGCTTTTCCAAGCCAGAACAAACTCTTACAGGCAGACCTCAGCTTCTGACATCACTCAGCAGAGCAAGTAGAGAGGATGTTCCGTGCATTCTCTGCAGACAATCACAGACCGATTTTTAATGCAAATATAAAACTACGTCTCTGAATAGCTGAGTCTATGTCAAAGATATGTTCTGTATCTTCTCCATAATCATATTTTCTTTTTTTTTGTCCAGGGACCAATAGGACCTACTGGACCTAAAGGAGAACTCGGTTTCCCTGGACGTCCAGTACGTATTATGATCTCAGGTGGAATAAAGATAGAGGAGCTTGCTTCTGACACATACTACACTATTCCTACTTATTTCAGGGCCGCCCAGGACTGAACGGACTGAGAGGGGCGAAAGGGGATCGAGGCGAAGCGTTCAGTGTAAGTTCTTATGTATTGCAATTAATTGGGATAAAAGCCCTGTTCAAAATCTTAAATCTCATTTCTGTGGATTCCTTTAAAACGATGATGGGACTGAAAACTTGAAGTGATGTTAGCATAGCAGTCATAAGGTAGAGCCTTTCCCATGTCTTTGTTCGTGAAGCCTAGCCACGATGATAAGGTGGAGATCAGCCGGACATCAAAGAGGTGATTTAGTTGGTATCACTGTATTTCAGCGGAGCATGTTTTGTAAATGAATTCTGTTGTGTGAGTCCTCTGGTTCTGCTTTGTTTAAAAGAGAAATAAATACATGGCACACAAACTGCAAAATACAGGTGTGTTGTCTATCTGGAAAATAAATGTGAGTTGATGATATTACTTTATCTGATTAATGGGGAGACTGAAAAGTGGTAAGTAGCTAAGTATCTTCAAGGTAACTAAGTGTCTTCACAGGAAGAAAAGACCAGGTACTAAAGGTTGTTGACATCTCTCCAGAAAGGTATAAATAGGAATTTAGTTGCTGCAAGGTGAAACCAGACCACTCTGACAAATTCTGATTGGAACAAAATGACAGAACAGATGACTAGTCACCAGCAGAAAATATTAAAGTAGATTTTCCATTTCTCTGAATCTGGACGAGTTTCTGTGGAACCTACTCTGGGTGACGCTACTCTGGCAGGGGAGGTTGGACTGGGTGATCTTCCGAGGTTCCTTCCAACCCCTGACATTCTGTGATTTCTGTGATCTTCAATTCCTGGGCTGACTGCCTTAACCAAAGAAAAACTATTACAACAAGTCTAACTAGGTGGAGTACAGTGAGCTGGGAGATTTAAAGCCAACATGCAAACCCAACTGGCTCTCCCGGAGTGCTGAGGGAAGACGAAATCCAGTGGGCTGATGAGGTGACCTGTGCGCTGCTGTGCAGGAAGGACGGACGTGCTGTGGTGTCAGGATTTCAAATGACACAGTAAAGAGGCAGCATGGCTTTTTCCAAAGGGCCTCCAGTCTAGCAGGGTTCCCTGAAGGTGCTAATCAGTGTGTAATTATCTGACTGGCACTTGAAAATATACAAATCTCAGCAGTCTTGAGAATCTCAGATACCTAATTTTCCTCGGATGAGAGATCCACTGCCTTTAATTTAGTTTCAGTTTTTAGTGCTTTGGGCTTTCCCATTTGGGGATTTGGGTGTTTCTTCTCTTGTGGAAATGACGATCTTAGACCGTTTTGTTCTGCACAGAGCGCTTGAGGCTATAAATTAAAATTCACCTGACAGGTTGATCCCAGAAACTGAATGCTCAGCCTCTCCTCGAGCCATTTAACACAAAATATCTTGATTAAATGGGGCTCTCTGAGCCCCTGGGCCTTTTTTCTGTAGGCCCAGTTGTGTTGCCTATGGAAAGATCTGTCTAATATCACCCTTCTTCCATGTCCCCTTACCAGGGCCCTCCTGGCTTGCCTGGACCCCCAGGCCCCCCCGGACCTCCCGGACGGATAGTTCATATCAAAGGAGTAAGTACCGCGGGGGTTTGGGCTCTGCCTCTGTAGCGGAAACATGCTGCTCCAGATGCAAACAGAAACGTCAAAACTTGTTCCAGGCAACCTTGCTTATGTGCAGAGGGAAAAAAAAAAGATCTCATAAGCAGAGCTGCTGCCCTGTAAGAGTTTTTTTGAGAGTGGGACCTGCTGAGGGAGCTGGGAGCTGCCCGGCAGCGAGCTGAGCTCTCGGCTCAGGAGGTGCTGGGTTTTGTTTCCAGGCACTCTCCTGTCACCTCTATTAGATCTGTTCAGTGTGTTACCTGCTGGGTTATGCCTACAGACGTTAAAATGATTTCCCTTCTTGTTTTCAAAAGACAGTCTTCCCAATCTCTCCCAGACCTCACTGCAAAATGCCGGTAAGTCGCAGGCGGCATCTTCTGCTCTCAGCAAAATGCATGGCCACGACAGCGCAGAACCACGGCAGCTACAGACGTAACCACAGTAGCTTTGCGGCTCTTCTCCCTCTGCCTTCTGCTTCGCGCCAGAGATGTGTTTACCTGGTCTTCGAGATAACAGATTTTCAAGTGTTTAAATCCCTAAGATTAGCCACGTCTAAAATATATAACAGAACTAGAAACGTTAGAACCTCTGGCTTAAAGCGCTTGGATTACTTGGTTGTCCTAACACTTTAAGGCTTTTCAAAGTTTGTGTTTCCCTAGTTTAAGAGTTGCTTTGGGAGGCTGACTGGTTATACATATACCTACACATATTTTTTGGAGATATATATATATATAAATACTGTCTCCATGTTTTTCTGCCTTTAGATGTTTTCAGTTTCCCTGCCCCCTCAAAAGATTTGTTACGTATTTCATTGCATCAGGAAAAAACAAAAGAAAGAGCATGTTCTTTATCTGACCCTCAAATGTGGTCTGTTCACACACAAACATTTATTATCTCAGGAAAAGCAGCAGGTGAAGCCCTGCCCCTGCTTTCCAAAGGGAAGGACAAACCCACCGTTACGGTCAAAGCATCTGCAATTCCACGCATAGTACCAAAAGAAAGGAGATGGGGCTTATATTTTCATTTTTTATATTTTTATATTTTATATTTTAGTCTAATGAATCATGGAAATTGCATCCTACAATGACCTGTGAACAGAGTTCAGTCCTGGAAGCGCATTTCCCAGGGCACTATCGTACTAACATTATGCCACAGTTTAGGTACCTGGAAAGGATTCTGCCTTCGGGAGCTGCATCCCTCCCTGGAATAGTGTGGTGGGCACTGTGGCTGATCGGCTTTTCTGTTAGCTCAAATTAGCATTGTGCCCTCTCCTCCAATTTCCATTCCAGTTCTTTTTCACTTATTTTAGAGAAGCAACTCTTGACTTGCACTGTACTAGATGCATTGACACTCATCATCACCGTGCCCTTACTGTTGAAAAAAGACCTTTCCCAGCGTATGGATCTTTCTGTTAATTAACAACAGGTACTCATTACTCTATAGTCATTTGATATTTCTACGGATTTGGCCTTAACCACCTCCAGGCCCATCATCTTTTTTACCTATTTGAATTCCTCCCTTAAATCTTCCCACTCCCATCGTACAGCATTAACCCACCAGGATCACATGTGGGTTAGTCAGCCTCACCTCTGAAATCCACAACCCGATGTGCTTGGTCCTACTTTGGGCTAGACAATCTTCAGAGACGCCTTCCAACCTCAACTCTCCCACGGTTTTAGCTGAATTTCGGATAATAAAAAAGCTGCTTTTCAAGAAGGTTACGATCAATGAATAATACAGTTACGTCTATGTGCACAAGGGATAGAAACCTGTATTGGTGAACACCTCTTTGTGCATCTAAGTGTGCTGGATAGATTTGTCCTACGTTTGTGAATAACCTCCTAAACCTATCCGAGTTTATAGATGAGAAGTCTGCTGTACATGCCTACATAAACGAATATCGATAGAGAACTACAGACCGAGCCCAAGTTTCCCTCATGTGAACTGAACTTCTGAAGTTAATGGAGCTATCCATGAGAGTAAGACTTCGGAGAGCTAATGCGACAGGACTAGCCACATGCAGCACCTTCCGTTGGGTCTGTTTGGGTTTTTTTTCATATGCTTGCTTAGATTCCTATAAATAGGAGCAGCTACTACTGAGATCAATCCACTTCCAAGCACTGTGCTGCATTTAAATCCCCGCGCTGCCCCTATTTGAAGACAGGCATTAGAGGTAAGCGTCGTGCCCACTGGTGTAGAGGTAGCTCATGCTCAGAAAAGGACAGACTAGAATAGCTCCTGCCTCACAGATGTGGTCTCACATCTGGAGCATCAGGCAACGTCAGGCAGTAGGCACAGCCTGGTGAACAATTTACAACCACGCTCTGTTGTCTTACAGTCAGAAAATCAAATCCTGCTTTCAAAGGGAGGTTGGATTAAATGATCTCTGAGGTCCCTTCCAGCCTAGGCCAGTCTATGATTCTAAATGTGATTCTAAATGCAGAATAGTTCCTGGAGAATGAGCTTTCTGATGTTTCACTGGCATGACTGAGCATAGGATTTGCTGGTGCCTCCAAAGTGCACGTTGACCCCTCCTGAAAAGCATGTTGCATGTCAGAGGGAGCGCAGTCCTGAAGAAAGCTTGAGCAGCTAATATTTGGATCTTGTCAGCCTGGAGATAACCCCAGCGTGTTGCTGTAATGTTTACTGTGCTAGCACGCAAGTTTTCCAGGCTTTTCAGTCACACCAAGTACTGCGCTTCCATCGGTTAATGCGTGTGGATAATTTTTAATAGATTTCTTTGTCTCTAGGTGAGCACTCCTTACCCTGGAAATCAAGAAGCTCTTAATGTCCATGGTGAGTAATTGTTTTGTTGTACCTTGTTTCTTGGTTTTTCTTAGTTAAGCTCTTTTTGCTTTTTCTTGACTATTGCACAACTTTGTTTGTGTAAAAACCAAACATATATATATATATGAGGCAGCCATTCACTGCTCGTGAGGAGAGCGAGATGAGCACGCAGGGACTGGAGCCATGTGCCCCCCACGTATGGAAAAGTTCGCTCTCGCTTTTGGTGGTTTGGTTGTCGCCACCACAGCCTCTGCTGTTGCCAAGTTCTCGTGAATCTGTGATGCTTTCATGGCAGGTGCTAAAGCAAACGGAGGTTCCTGGGGGCTGCCCAGCTCAGTGGACTTCAAAGGAGAAAAAGGAGACAGAGGTGCTCCAGGACCACCAGGTACGCTACATGTGACATGTCATTGTCACCTCCTAAAGGAATATATTTGTGAGTGTTACGCACGTGTTAAGTACAAGAATAGATACTGAAACGTAACTGCCTGCTCAGAGATTTTTTCTGAAATCTTAGAAAGACATCGTGCCTGCTTCCTGCGATATCATTTGGTTGTCAATATTTTTTGAAACAATTGGGCTAAAATCCATCGCTTCCCGTTTCAGGATAAGACGTTCTGAGTTCAAGGCAGTCATTTGTTGGTCACGGTCCCAGTTCCAGCAGGAGTTGGAACTGAGTGATCTCCTTTCCAACCAACTTTTTAATATTCTATGCTTTATTTGTAATAATCATGAGAAGTCAGTGTGAACTAAAAATACCAGTTAACTGGTGGTAGGAGCATCATAACAGATGTTCCTCACCAAAGATTTACTTTTCTGTATCAAAAAGTTGATACACATTGCCAACTCTTACAACTCCAAAATAGTAACAGAAAGAAGCATCTATTTGAAAAGAGTGCTGTTACAAACTTTTTCATTTTATCATTGCGTATTTTGACCTCTCGTATACTGCGTTAAGGCTTCGGTCAGTGTCAGGAATCATCTGAAATAGAATAAGCAGTAGATCAAATTAACGTTGCTGTACCATATTTACAGCCTTTGTCCTCTAATGTGCTGGTAACAAACACAAAACTACATCTATATGGATATTTATGTCTTCGTTCCAAAGATCTGTTGACTGAAGATCACATTTTGGTTATTTTTAAGAAGGCATCTGTTTGTTCTAATAAAATCTGTTTTCTTGTCCTCAAAAATTTTTATTCTGATCAATATCCAGTGCCTTAAAATAAGCAGTTAGTGCTTCCTAATCACCAATATACTTCACCAATATACTTGTAAGAAGTGTTACTAAACAGAAATTAAGAAAAATTTACCCTCTGTGCTGGTTCATCCACCATGAACACGTCTGTTCCCTCTCAGGTTCTGTATTTAATGCAAATTAATGTCCTACCAGTATTTTTGCCTGTATCTGATTATTTCAGTGGCTTCAGAAGGCGGGGATTATGAGAGAATTGTGCTTACGATCTTGTTGTAAAACTGAAGCTAGTGAAGGATGGTGAAAATAACACAAGAATTCTCCTCAGACTGAAAAGAGAATTCACCTTTCTCCTAAAATAACAGATTTATTTGTTCGTTTGCCAACTAAATCCAAAGAGATCGACTAGCTTTTCCGAAGTTAAAATATATTACCTAAGACCAACTCTGCTGCTGCTCTAAAAACCAGTCCTGTTTGGTTCTCGCTTGTTGATGTAGCTGCTAAAATATTCTTCCACACAAACCAGTTGTCTAGGTCTCGCAGGAAATCCACATCCCTGACAGTGAAAATTCACAGGCCAGACGTTGCAGGGTAGTGGAAACTGGTTAAAGGAGAAGAATTTTTCAAAACCTTCTGGCTGGAGCCTCCTTCGCTACAATATCTGCTGAGCCCCAGCAATCCAAAAAGCTTTCTGAACCGTGTTGCTTGTCCACACGGTGCATTTACTTTTTTTCCTTTTCACAGAATGTCTTCTCTCTAACATTACAAACAGGCTCTATTCATTGATAACATGCAGAAAAAAAAAAAAAAGAAGAAGGAAGCCAACACAGAAAGAGCGTAGATGGCAGGCCGTGCTTTATGCAGCTACTCTGTGTCGAGGCAGGTGTAGTATCTGGAGCGTAGGTGCTGCGTTCCAACCACTCGTGCAATGCTGCAGCACAACGCCGCGGTTTCTGGCTGGAGCAACATAGTCTGGAGCCTCCTAAGACAACGCCTTTGGAATTAGTGGCTGAAGATGCGCTAATCGAAAATGCCGTGTTTATCGTGGTGTGTTGGCCTTCAGCCATGGTCAACCCCCTTCCTTCCTGCTGGTTGTTCCCCAAAAGACCAACCTGGTATTCCGGACAAGTTTTCACATTTACCTAAATCCACTCTTTGGCCTGTTTGTTTGTCCTGAGACTTTCTTTTCCATACAAAGAAGTTTCACCTTTTTTTCTGTGAATCCTGGGAGGACTGGAGCTAAAGGAAAATCAGCGAGGCGGAGCAAGACGTCCTCTCACTGGGAAAGCATTAATTCTGGCCATAAGAGAGTTCTGCTGCTCTAGGGGCCAGGTCAACCTCTAGATCAGAGCCCAGACCTGAAAGTGGTGTAGCTTCCCCTCTTCTAAAACGAGAATATCTGACTGGGTTTTAGATGCTTTGTGCTGCCCTGGCAGCTCTGGCTGACCACCGTGTAAAGCCTTGCTGTGTCAGGAAACAAAAACGTCAGTTAGATTTAAAGGTTAATTGTAAATAACTTTCCTTTAAACTCCTAAACCAGTAATATCCAAAGCAGTGCTTTTAACAAGAAAATTGCAGATAATTATTGCACTTCACTGTATTTTCCTCATTTTTCAGGTCCACCTCTGCCTCCATCATATTTCAGCCACTTCATTAACAGCATAAAGGTAATTATGTCCCATTTGTGCCTGAGTTCTGTTAAGCTTTTTTAAAGTGTACTTTACTATAAATTAAGCATAAAACCAAGTAGCATGGCAAAACATGCAACACAGATAAGAGCATCAGCAATTACAAGCCATATTAATTTCTTAAGCTCCAGATGAAGAGACAAGTTTGTTGCAAGTATAGAGATAGCAGATGTCAGTAATATATAAAGATTACTTGTTTCAAAAACTACTGGTGCTTTTTACCTTCCCAGTGGTAATGAAGTGAGTCATAATTCACTGTCACCTAACACAAGTTGGTATAAATTATCTGAATGCGTTTGTTTTCATGCCAGCTCAGGTAAGAGACAGCCATTACCTAAAGGGCTTCTAGAAAAATTTAGGAACAATTAACACATGGCTGGGGAGGGGAAATTCATTTCTGTGTAATATTGTGTATCTTTTAAACTCACAGAATAAAATAAGTTGAAGTGATGGAAACTACTTTCCCCAGAATCTCTTACAAGAAAATATATGTGTCACTTGATGTGTTTGGTCTCTCTCTTCCATTATTCTCCTGATTGCTTCAAGTGACAAAAATGAATACCAAAAACAAGTGAGCAGGGCTCTTTACCAGTAGAATATTTGTTTTTGTCAGAAAGGTGAAACACAGTAGGCCAAATAAAAGCTGAAGCTAAAAAACCAGCAGGCAAACAGAGAAGATAATGCCAGGAGGAACCCACAAATGCTGCGGCTCCTTTTGCACGGCGAGATAACGCCCTAGGATTTCACCGCTGCTTCTTACCCAGCGCTCCGTTCCCCAAACTAACTGATAACCAGTGATGAAGCACAGGAGAAGACGCACAGTTCAAAGCTTCTGCAATCCCGTGTGGTGTCTCTTCTGTTGTCCTGGCACACTCCCACACCCTTCTCTCTCGTCCTACGCGCAGTCCCCTTCCCCTCGCCACTTTCCCCTTTAAACATCCGCCCGTTCCACGTCAAACTTGCTTCACTTTTTCCTTGCTGACAGAGAAAAGCAGACCAGAAGGAAGCAACATCAAAACAGGTTTTAAGCAGATCCTTTTCTTTACTAAGCTCAAGAGGTTTCACGCAACTTTAAAAGGTCGGCGCACAGAGTTCTGATCTCCCTTCAGCTCGGTTTAAAATGTGTTCTCTTTAAAGGGTGAAAAAGGAGACAATGGAGTCACTGGTGTAAAAGGAGAAAAAGGAGAACCGAACGGAGGGTTCTTTCTGACAGGACCTCCTGGACCACCTGGAAAACCAGGACTAATTGTAAGTCACACAAGTTGTAGAGTCGGAATATTTGTGGGTACACAGTGTTTTAATTTAGAAGGCACTAAAAAGGCACCAAGACGATGCTAAGAACTATATAAAAACTGATATACTAACCGTTTGGTGAATACAGGAGAGGTGCATTAGGTGGAAACACAGATACTTCACTGCTGTGCACAGAATTAATTTGCTATGAAAAATAGATGCAATGTAATGCTTGGCTGTCTAATGCAACTGCATCAGTACATAGATTCATTCTATTAATAACATTACAAATCAAAGCAACATCTAGAACGTGTGACACTACTGCTTGTATCCCCATGAAGGCCAAAATCATTCTCCATCAGGACTAATATAGATGGAAGCTGACTTGTAAATTACTGACCCACCTAAACATTTAATCTCATTTTCTATTCCGGTAATCCAAACACATGAATGAAAAGTCCAGCCTGTGCATATCTGGATGGTTCTTATAAAATTCAGCCACTGTCTAATGTCTGCCTAGTTGTTTTATCTTCTGGTGATTGCCACCACAGCTGCTTAGGAATCAAACACACTGATTTATCCCCAAGATCTGGCAACAAATGTGTGCATCACGTTACTCTGTCATCATTTGCCCAGGAACATGAACGGCTGGGTCACAGCTAAGGACAAAACACTAGGCTAGCAAGCCCACCTCCCTAAGTCCCCCTTGGTGCTATTCCACGAGGCTGTGAGAACCATCTCCCCATTTAGAAACTGCTCCACTGGCAAGGAGGAGCTGGACGGCACAGCTCGGCCCATCAGCGGCTGAGTCTCCTAGCCCAGGGTCCAAAAACTTCCAAAACCTGAGAGTACTGTCAAAAGTTTTACAAATATCAGCTACCCAGGAATAGGCATGAGAACTTTCAGGAGAGTTTTTGAAAATTAAGTTCTTGAATTTAGTTAAGCCATTCTAGGATTCTAGGATATGGTGAATTTTTTTTTCACGTGCCATTAATATCCATGCATCCTTGAAGAAAATTGTGCAGACTCATGTCTAAGCAGTGGTGGCAGTCCTTCAGAAAATGTTGCCACCAGAGGTGCAGGCTCTGCATTCAAAGAAACACTTTTTATCACTGACAGGGACCAAAAGGGGATTCAGTGATCGGACCCAGAGGACCTCCAGGCTTACCCGGCCTTCCTGGCTTACCAGGCTATGGAAAAATTGGACCTCCTGGTCCACCTGGACCGCCAGGACCGCCTGGACCACCTGCAATATATGGCTCAGGTAAGAGGGTGTGGTTTTGCTTTTTGCTGGACAAGTTCATTTTTGTTTTACTTTTAGAGCAAACGATATAATGGCTCCTCAAGACCTGCACAGGCAGGAGATAAAAGTTCTTGCTCTTCCACGTGCGTATCATTAGCAGCTAGAAGATCATTCTGGTCAATTTAAGAGGACATGGTTCTTCAGCTGCAGAGTATCTACAACAGATTGCAATCTGTTGACCTTAACCTCCCAAACAACAGAGAAAAGACTAAGTTTCACCACTGCTTTAAAAAAAAAATTTTCAAGGATTTTTTTTTTTTTAATAGCTCACTTGAACACAGCTATTCAGAAGTCGACTACGTAAGGCCTATGGCTATTTAAAGCTCCCGCTACTCCTAGATACCACCACTGAGTTCTTTCTCTATGTCACTCACCTTCTCTCTCAAAAAAAGCGATGACCTTCAACATGTATTGTGTGCTTGTTTTATTTTAGCAGCTGCAATGCCTGGGCCACCAGGTCCTCCTGGAGAACCAGGGCCACCTGCAACCAGGAATCTGGTAAGCCAGCAAAATGAGGAAAAGCTTGCTTCAGGTCTTTCAGTGGTCACTGGTAGCACTGAGAGAGTAGGG